TTGACAGGTGAACAGAAAAGTTGAAAATAAGAACAAAAGAAAGTATACCTAATCCCTATGACTAATAATATTCTATACATTTTAGGTGAAGTGAATAGATTATGATATGCTACTAATGTTCCTTTAGGATAAGCTCATCTCTATTTCTTCTAATTTTGATTTTATTATTTTTCATTATTCAATTCATTTCAAGTGTTAAACTTCACCAGAAATTCCTTAACATTATTAGATCAAGAAGTCATGTGCATGATTTGACTTTCAAAATTGTTCACTATTAAGCTTATAATTAATTAATTAATTTCCTCTATTGCATGTGAGAGTCTCACTGGACAGAGGAAAAGTGAATTAAATTTTTTTATTTGAGATTAAGAATCATCTTAATAGGGCATTGGTCTTAATTTAATCAAAACATTGAAAAATAATTTGCTTAATATTCCCTATACATGTTGCAACACCAAAAAATATGAAATTGCTTGAAAGATGGGATCAAATATATATTAATTTTTTAAAATTATTAAATTAGATTGATTGATTGATTTTTTTTTTAATCATTATAAAATCTTAAATAAATGTTATGTCATTACTATAACCCCATCACTAATAGCTTAATTAGCTAGAGATGAAGAATTGAAGATTGTGTTTAATTTTATGTTATATTTCAATGATTAAATAATTTTTGATAAAGATTCTTAAATTTCAATCAATCAAATCAATTTCTTTGACAAATTCTCTAAATAAATGTACAGGTAAAGTAAAGTTCTAGTTATAATTTTAGACCTTTAATCACCTAATTATTTAAGTCTTGACACTTAATTATTGTCCTTTCTCCGTAAAACACAGTTATCTTCATCAACTCAAATACGAGATGAGTGTCTTCTGTGTAAATATATATACTGAGTTTACACTATAATTTATTTTTTCGATATTGTTTTGAAATTAATTGTTTATATTTAGTTTTATGAAGGAATTTAAAACCTACCCTTAAATAATAATAGAAATTTTATTTCAAATTGATATTGATTACTTAAATAAATAATAGTTGAATTAAACGCGCTCAAAGACAATTGATACCAGAATGATCGACGCAAGTCAATCAATCTAGTGCTGGGAAATCACTAACATCCTCAACGACATTCATAATAGAGTCTATCGTAAAATTTAGTTTGTAGAAAAACACGTTAATTGATCTTAAACTTAATCAGTTTTATGTGATATGTTTTATTTAACATGTAAACTTTAGGTGTAATTGTGTACAATTGATATTTATTTAAAAAAAAAAAAGTATGAAGAAGATCTTTCAGAAAGATGGGGGAGATTTTTTCGTAAATAGTTTTCATATAGTTGAGAGAATATAATATTTTAATTTGATGTGTGATTTAAAGATTAAATCTTAAATATAAAGTTGATAACATTGATTTAAAAATTAAAATGAACATCAACTTTATGTAGATATTAAAAACATAAATTAATTAAAATATGACATTATATGGATTATAATGATTTTCTAATAATGAACCAAGTTTTATGGCATATATATTTACAATAGGATAATTTCAAGATGGGCCACATGCATGGCAAGGGAGATAGTTGGGTGAACAACTGAGATTTTGGTGGGGTTAAAATTTGAACTCAAATCTTGTCAGGAATAATAAATAAAATTGGTTCACTTCTCAAATGAAAATTGATTCATGTATTAACTATAACTATATATTTAATAAATCTTAAATTAATCCGTCATAAAATAAAGTATATTATTGGCTACTAATGAGTCTTCAAGTGACTAGCCGATTAATACGAGATCTGTGTCTTTTTGTTCGTTGCATTGAGCATCCGTTTCAAACAAATCAAATTGCTTGAGACTGGGAGTATATATTCTCGAATCAAATGCACTATAATATTACCAAGTAGCTATCACGATTCACCTATCAGAGAAGACACGTAAAATAATTTCACTAAACGAAGAGACGTTTTGAATGCAAAAACAAATTGTTGAGTTCACCATAAAACAATTCCAAATGGAGCATAAATTTGACTAAAATAAAACTTGTTCTAATTAAATAAACTAAACTAAAATCCTATTTTGGACAAATCTTTTTAATATTTGAAATTATGTCTGATATAATATTCGGAAATTTCCAAATTAAAACTAAAAAAAAAAATTTTTTTGACAAAACGACTTTTCCCTGTTTTATAATTTTATATTAATTTTTAAAATTTTGTGTAAAAAATGTTTTCTAAATATTTTATCTGATTTCAAGTAAGCACATTTTCAAAGGATCTCTTGTTTTCAAAAAATAAAAATCCATATTTAAACTATAGACTGTCGTCTCAACAGAATTTATATAATATCAACTGAGTAATGTTATGGGATATTTAAAAAAAAAAAATTAAAAAAGATAAAATAAGAAATAAGAAAACGTGGTTGCTGGAGCTAATTGCCAAAGAACCTTCTAACAATAATGATAATGGAAACAACCATAATACGTATATGTGAAGAACATGCTCGGGATATTAGTAATAAAAAAACAATAAAATTAAATTAAATTAACTTGAAAAGAATTTGAGTGACCACGTGTCTCTTGCCATTTTTTTTCCTATCAATAATAATTCAGCCGGCGCCATCTTATCCACTCCTATAATTGATCAAGACAAGGCCGACTCCACCAGCAACTATCACTTTTTTCTCTTCTTATTCTTCTCTATTTTCCCAAGAAACAAACAATTATTTGTGGGGTAACATTTTTTGGGAAATATTATCTATTTTATGGGTTGTATTTTATGATAAGGTATGATTATTTCAATATAACTATGAATTATAATAGGCTTCTAAAAATATATTGAAGTTCGGATGTTGTTGTTTATTTAAGAAGTTTTTGGAAATGAAATTTATGGAATAAATGTATTATTGATTACACTAAAAGATTGTTAAGTGTTAANTTACTTAGTTAAGAGGACCCAAAGCTTATAAACTAAATCCCGAACTTCTTTGTTGATGATGTGGGATGTGGCAAATTGTATCCTAAAACATCTTTGTAGTCTATTTGTTATCATTTCGGACATAAAAATGAGCAAGTCTTTATATCATTCTTGCTAAACTAGATAAAGGGAAGGTAGAGAAATATTTCACAACTTTGTTTATTTGGGATGTTTTGAGCCCTCGAGCGTTAGAGTGCATACGTTGAGCTTAAAATGAATAACCTTTGGATGTATAGGTCCTTATATAGGTGAGCTTTGGGAGGTTTAAATTGATATGGTTTGCTCTTCAAGAGAGATCTTTGGGTCAAATGAGTCAAGGATAAGGCAATAAAGAGTTAATCTTTTCCTTTTAGATTAAGATAATATCTAGGGAATATTTATCATGTTAATAACCAATATCATATTTCCTTTATATAAAGATAACTCATTTATTATAATATCTCTATAAGTTTAGGAAAACATCTCTTAGAAATAATATAGAAATATTCCATTAGTAATTTAATATAACAAATCCTTTAATATAGGATAATATCCACTTGGCCACATTCTCTTAGCCTAGCAAAATATGTTATCTACAATATATTATATGGATTAGTACTTTTATGTTAGAATGATTTTATAGTTATATGTTAGAATGAATTTATTTGTTTATAGTGTTATGCTGGATTTGGAAATTAGAGTGATTTTATTTATCTTCTTAAGCCAAAGCAAATTATTGGAGTTTTTCTAACTATATTTTTCAGGTTTCAATCTTACACTATTGTCCGTTGCCATGTAAAAACTTATATATCAAACTAATAAATAGTTTTGGTATAAATGTTATATGAATTAAGAAGAGTAAAGCACTTGTCACATAGTTAACATAAGATCAATACACCACCCATTTGTAGTCTCATGGGCCTATAAACTTCATAAAGAAAATCCCATAACTGTAGCCCAAAAAAGTGGGCCTTTTAATGTTTCTAAGCAACGCGGTGATTACACCAAGGTCGGGCCATCCCTTGCCCCTTGGCCCCAGATTTTAAACCTGGGTAATTACTAGAGGCCATCGAGTAATTAAATACTCGGCGGAGCTAGGAATAGAGGTTCCTGGATCTGGCCTCGAGTTTTGCCATCCCTAAATGATATGTTAATTAAGGAGCAATGTCATATCTTTTACTCCCTCCGTTTCTATATAAGTGTCATTTTGAGTTTTTACACAGTTTTTAAGGAATAAAAAAGTGTGCAGAGAATTGACTTTTTCGGTGAAAAAATTTTGTTTCTCATTTTGCAAAACGTGTGTGAGACAGTGAAATATTAATTAAGAGAGAGACAAATTGTGAAAGAGAGGAGATGAGGGGAAGGGAAAGATAGGAGTGTGGGGTAGGGTAGAGAAAAAGGTGGAGAGAGGAGATGAGGGGAAGACTGAAGAATGAAGAAGTGGATCATTGAAAGAAGAGAACGTCGCTTATTTTGAAACAAATTATTACCCTCAAAACGACACTCATATAAAAACGGAGGGAGTAGTATACTTAATTTTGTAAGAATAAAACTACACCTATTATTAATCTCCTTTAAGATTTTTCTTAATGATAGGAATATTAGCGATAATTAACCAATAATGGGTTAATCGAGTGATAAAAGCTTGGGCCAAGGGGTTTGCTCCCCTTGTAATCTCAGGTTTGATCACAAGAACGATTGTTTATATTGTTGGTTACGGATCGTAGAGGTTGTCCTGTTTCGGAAGCCTTGTTTGAGATTAAAGGACTAGTTGAGGACTCGAGGTGCACATAAGCTGACTCGGATACTCACGGTAACAAAAAAAAAAAAAAATATTAGCCATAATTTTCCAAACTATAATAAGTTTTTTTGAAAATTACACAAAAGGTTACAGTGAATTTCCGATACCCTTACTATATGCATATTTAATTGGATCCATAATTTCAACCCTGAAAATAGAAGCCCAGCGCGAGATGTTATAGGCCATGTCCGGTTTGGCCCGTAAACTATCTTAACCCGGTCTTTTAATTTTAGGGTTTAGGGTAAAGTAGTCAAAATCCGTATTTATTTTGCCGAAAACAAAACAGTACACGTTCCTTCTTCTTCGACTTTCTCGGCTTCATCACTTCCTGGTAAATAAATAAATGTTCTTTTTAATTTTTCAAAATTTATTGAGCTCATTCTTTTCTTGATTAATTTTTCATTTCTTTTTGCTTTTGTTTCTATTGAATTGATTTTTATTCATCGTTTGTGATTTACTGTTCTCGTTGGTTAATCCAGATCAAGCATGGCGCAACGTTTGTGCTTTTGGTTTTTTTGTGAGATTGGAAGTTCTTTTGGCATACTTAATTTTGTTTTCTTTTTAATTGATTTGTAGTGTTCGGTTGAAATAGATAGAAGTTTAATTGATATAGAAAACTAAAAGCATTTGTAGTTTTTTTTTTCTTTTAAGAATGACTCAAAGATTTGCATTTAAAATAAAAAAGTGCTATAATGATTCTTTTTAGTGCTTTTATCATTGTCAATTGTGGTTTTATGTGTGTTTTGTAGTGTTCGGAGTGTAGCTAAAATTTATTGATATCAGAAAGAACATTTGAATTTTTTGTTTTGGTTAAAAAATGACTTATAATATTAATTTTAACTTTAGAATTGGTTTTCGGAGGAGCACTTAGTGTGTGTATGCTTTTGTAGACAATGCTTTTCCTCGAAATCGATTTTTATTAAGCACTCCCAGATGCATGTTTTGTATTGTTTGAAAAAATGGAAACTAGAAAGTGATTCAAGACATTGATTTCTCGAATTGATAGATTTGAATTGAATTGGATTTGTTTCTTGTAGTTGTAAAGTTTTTGGTCATTTGCTATTACCTTTTGTTGATTGTAATTTATTTATGATGTCTTTCTTAGCATATTGTGTTTTTTATTATTCTGATTGTTTCAACTTGAAATTTATATTCAACTTGTTGTTTCTATGTCATCTTGTGACATTTATTAATGTACTTTGCAGTTGATTGAAAATTACTACATGATTGCTGTTGTCAACGGAGTCTAACTGTAGTCATCAAGATGGCTTATGAAATAAACGAGCAAAAAAGTAAGGATTGTTTTGTGCGCTCTTGTGAAAATTAAATATGTTCATGTGCTGGTATTCTTGTGGGTCATGGCTTATCTTTGCATGATGTTGCTGTCTTGAAACATAATCATCTTTGTCTGGAAATATTCGGGAATTGATTTTCAAGGACTCCTATTAGTCTGAAGGTCATTTAGTTTAATGGCCCAAACCAATATGTTTTGTTAAACAACTTGTTTTTGGCGTCAATCATTTAAATTGATAAAATTCAATTTTTCTTTTTATTTCTCCTGACTTCTACATGCATACACATACTGAAATTAGTTCAAATTTTACTATCTATATTCATATTTCCTATAGTTTGTTTACAGGAAATGAATAAGTAATTGCTTCGACATTCTATTTTTTGCTAGTCTGTAGTGAGATGAAATAATTAGTGCCTATGCTGTTGTTTCTTGATTGTTTAGTGCCTTAAACCATGACTATTAGTTTTTATCAAATTCAACGATCTTTATTGTGGGTAACCTGTGTCAAAATTAGTAGAACATGCATTATTTAACTATTGGATTGAAGACTTTGCCCTCAGCAAAAACTTTAAACGTACATTGGAAACCTTATAGTTATACAAAAAGATTGATTCTGTTTTGTTATATTAAAGTAATAGAAGTTTATTCTTAAACGCCTTACATAAAAAGGAAAGGAGCATAATATTCACCACTTAATTGGTTGTTTTATTTATAATAAATTATATGGAAAAAGGTTACAATTGCTTCCTTATGAACTCATGTGGGTTTAGTGGATGTGGGCTTGTGGCAAGTGGTTTGACGTTTATTTTCATTGCACATTTGAATGAAAAAGCTGAATATGCTTCATCATTTTCATTTAGCGAAAATGTTCTTTTGAATTCCCTTGAATCTTCAGGAGAATTCTTTTGTAAATCCTTCTCTTCTTCTTTAGTTAACACTTCTTTGTATTACTTTCTTCAATGTATTTAAGTTTTCTTGAGTTTCTTTATTTGAGAGGAAAAGAAAAAAAAAAAAACTTGTCCCATAATGCATTAGAAAAGGCCTTTCCTGTAACCTCATCGGGTATCTCATCTAAAAAGGATGAGGAAATGTTTTGACCATCTATGACTCTATGTCTTCATTGCCCATTCTTTTGATTTGCCACAAGTGGGCTCAAAGTTTATTTTTATTAAAAATTTGATTGAAGATGTTGAAAATGTTCCTTTGCATTCAAATATCCTATTTACTATAAAAGAGAAAAGAAAAGAAAAAGATAGAAAATAGAATGGGGTCTTTAATCTTCAAGAGAATTTGCTTGTAAATCATTTGTTACTTTTGGTGTACAGCCATATCTGCTCAAGAGTTAACTCTTGTGGCATATTGCTTGTCTCATTGGTGTTTCATATCTAGAAAGGATTGCAAAAACGTGTTGATAATCTTTTTTCTCACTGTTCCAATTTTTGGGGGTGTTGTATTTGGGTTACCCTATTGTTTATGGATCCTACTTCAAATACATTTATTTCTTTAATGTTTAGGGAGATGTCTATGATGGGTTTGCTAGCTGTATTATTGGTCATGTGGTTGGAAAAGAATAAGAGGATGTTTGATAATAGTGTCATTGAGGAGATTGAAGTTTTATGGTATTGTTGAGGTGGTTTTTTTCATACTTGACATGCAACAAAATATTGGAGGAATAATAATTACATCAGTGAATCAGTTCTTCTGTTGCTGAACTAATTTTGTAAACTGTTGAAATTGCAACCTTTTTCAGACCCCAAAATCAAACTTCACACTATGTGCATCACCTCTTTGAGTTTTCAGAGTTAAGCTCACGACTTTAGTGGTGATAACACCAAGGAGAATCTAGTAGCAACCTTGCTTAGCCTTGAAGTTTGTAAAAGATCTCATTCTTGAGAGTGTTTTCATAGGGGTGAAAATTATGGTAAATACTGGAGAAGATGTTGTGGTAAGTGTATTTAATAATTAATGTGTTTGGGTCAGTGATTATGCTCAACGTAAATCATTTATGGTGATATATAGGCTTTGGCCATACTTTGGCATTAAAGTAGAGAATTAGAACCTGCTTTTAGGCTTAGTCTTGCCAGGATTTCATTTAAAAGATGATCCTAATTGAAATAATTTTTATTGCAAGATAATTCCTTTAGAATTAAACTAGTCCTATTAGGATCTTTTCTCCCCTTTATTAAATTAGAAATAAGAGGATTATTTCTAATAAACTACTTATAGTCCTTAAGGATTATAAAATTTTAAATAAAAGGTGTAGTTTAATAATTTTGAATTAACGTAATAGAATCATAAATAGGAAGGGATTATAATATGAATATCATAAAAATAAAATAATTATTTATCAAATTACATCCTTTCAGATAATGAATATTTTATTGGAAATAACCTTATTAGTTTTAAAACTAGGAGATTGTCTCCTACCATGATTAGCTATCTTAAAAGTAATTATTGTTTTAAAAATATTTCTTTCTTAGGAAGAATACCGAAATGGAATTCTATCAAGTCGAAGGTTGTGTTTTTAGATTTCACTTGTATCTTAATCTCTTCAGATTTAATGTGTGTATATATATATATATTTTACTTCTTTTTTCAATTTATCACTTCTTTTTTTTATCCAAATAAATCTTAATTCATAAAAAGTAATATTTTCTAACGTTTATCTAAAATCTGAAGATTTTAGAAATATGTAAATTAGATTACTAAAAATACCCTGATTTCGTAACAAATACAGAATAAAATTATATGAAATTATTGAATGACATTAAAGTATTGCTAATGTGAAATTAGTTTATTTGGAAAAAAAATTTAACAATTAGACCAGCAAAGTTCTTGATTGACAGTCAGAATTGGATAGGGGTGTGCAAAACCGGATATCCGATCCGGTTGGCCTTTTTTTTGATCCGATCCAAATATTCGGATCAGCGAAGAAACCGATTCGAATCCGATCCGGTTTCTTGACTGATCTGGTTTTGATCTGATCTGAATTTTTGGTTTGGATCGATCGGATATCCGGTTTTAATCCGAATTTCAAAACAACATTACAACAAGAACTTTATTTGAAATTAATCTTTTATATTTATCTAAAATTAAACTAAATTGGAGTTAAAAGACATAAAGATTTGATGAAATAACAAAACAACAGTCAAATGGAACACAAAAAAATATGCCAGAGCAGAACAACACCAAAACACGTTGACAGAGCAATGAACAGTACAGACTACAAAATAGTATCAAGAAACTGAAACTGCAGCCACCATATAGCTTGAAAAATGCCAGTAAACCTGGAGAGCAGACCAATACCTTTTGTTTGCTTTCCTTCAGTGCCGATTTTTCACAAAGAATATGTTGCTTACTGTTTATTTAAAACATTGACAAAGAATATTTTTCACAAAGAATATGTTGCTTACTGTTTATTTAAAACTTTGAACCTATCTTGCTATCCATTAGACCAATATCCTATCTACCAAAACATGAAAACTACTGCTCTAAATATCTATCAAACCTAACAAATGAAGGAGAAGGAATAATAAGTCAATCTTAACAAATGTTGGAACAACAATGACCACTAAATCATCACAACCATCGTATTCTCAAACAGACAAACTCTTGAGATTCAACCAACTAAGTTATAGGATACCAAGGCTTTCAATAGATCTAAAATTGAGATGAAATGAAAACATATCTCTCAAAATCGTGGAGAAGTGATGCCGATTTTGTTTGGTTTTTTTTGGTTGAGTCTTGAGTGAGGAAAAAAGTTGGGGATTTGGGATCTAGGGTTAAGCAAAAAATGATTTGGGATTATTTTTATTTGGTTTTTAAAAACCGGATCGGATACGGATATTTGGTTTTTTGCACAATCGATCCGATATCCAATCCGAAAATCCGGATCTTCTTATATATCTGATCCGAATTTTCGGATATCCTGTTTTTTCAGATTGAATCGGATCAGATTTGGACCGGATATCAGATTATTTTGCACACCGCCAAAATTAGATGATCAACAACGTTGTCAAAGAGCATTTGGTAAAAACCATTGGTGTCAAATGATTGCCTTTGAATGATCTTTCTATTCATACAAGTTTTAATAGCAATAGAGGTACTATCTGACCAGATCTAACAGGGAAAGATTTGGCTGCAGAATCTTTTTTTTTTCCAAATTTGGCCGAACGTCACTCTTATTATTGTTGAAAGTTACATGAATAGATAGATTATTAACATGATCATTTTGATACCAATATTGTTGTTAGATCACTGTAATGATGTTGTTGATTGACTTTACTATCATCAATTTGTCAAAAAATTTTAAATTAAAATGATTGATCTTTATATAAAATATTAGGTTGTGTTTGTTTTATTTTTTTAAAGTCCATTCTACTATCTTATTTGTTTAAACAGTAAAAGCGAGTTTTTGTTATAATATTCAAACAAAACAACTTTCAAAATCTTATTCTAATGACTTTTTGACCGTTGTCTCTCTCGTTACTTTTATCTGTTCTCCCTAACATAACTGATGTGATATTTAAAGCCCCATCTAAACACCTTTTCTCGTACGTCTCAAAATCAATTAAATTTAAATTTATTTTATTTTATTTAAAACTAACATATCATGTGATATTTAAGCCCCTTTTAAACTCCTTTTATTTTACATCTCAAAATCAATTAAATTTAAATTTAAATTTATTTTATTTAAAACTAACATAGCAGATAAAAATAATGAGAGAGATAATGATAAAAAAATTAGTAGAATAGGATTTTGAAAGTTGTTTTGTTTGAATATTAAAACAAAGCTTTACTTTTATTGTTCAGACAAATAAAATAGTAGAATAAGCTTTGAACAAGTAAAACAACTGCAGCCTTTAATATTACTATAAATTATTATTATTATTGATGGTTTTGGTTTAAGTTTTACTTAATAATTGATTTTCAAATGTTTATATCATATGAAATAATGCATTTATAAAGTATTAGATGTTTATGTTTGCAAGGTAAATA